TAGTTGTTATAGTTTTTTCTTGTATATGTTATTTTTCATTGGGTGTCGTTCTTTATGATTTCATTACGTCTATGTATGAATTGTTCTTAGATAATTTTACGTATCTGTAATTTGTCCAGAACCCAAATATCCATATCCATAATTGTCAAACTGACTTTTTCAATGGTTCTTTTTAACAGTTTACTGATGATGGAGGTTTAGTGATCACCTTCAAAACATTTAATAAACATGAAATTCTTCATGACTGTGTTAGTCTACCTCTTCATACTTGTGATACAACACCTGAATGGCAAACCTATCAAAGAAAGTATATATATATGATATATATATATAAAACCATATAAATATATACAGTAAGTCCCCAACTTAAGAACATAATGGGGACCGAGAGGCTGTTTGTAAGTTGATTTGTTTGTATGTTGAAAGTCGGGTCTCCATTACCTTTTTTCCCATTGTTTTAAAGTTTTGTTTACATTAAGAATAACTATAAATAAATCCCAATAAGTACGACATACCTTATACAGTACCAGACTCTTGAACTATATTGATGCCTGGGAAATTTGAAGTTTGCTAGCATCTTTCAAACAATTTTTTGGACTTTGGTACTTAAAAAATTTTGTTTGTATGTATGGAATGTTCATAAGTAGAATGTTCTTAAGTAGGGGACTATCTGTATATATATATGTATATACATATATGTATATGAGTATATGTGTAAATATATATGTATATATATTTATGTATATATGTATGTATATAAATGTATATATATATATATATGTATGTATGTAGAGGTATACATATATATATATAAACATGTATATATGTTCATATATGTCGCTTATTTTGAATTAACTACAAAGTTACAATTTCTAGGATTTACTTACCTAAGTGAAGTATATTAATTATATCATGTTGAAACCCGAGGCATGCTATTACTACCCTCTTCACAATCTACAAAATAAGATAATGTAATCATATTTTGAATGTTTTATACCCAGTTAGTACTAGTACTACTAGCACTACTATTTTTATCTCTCAAACTACTGGTATTTGATATAAATGGTTAGTAAAGCATTTATGTATCACCAAGCCAACAAAAATGAAAGTATAGATAAAAGAGAAAATGTTTGATGTAGCTCTGATCATTCTTGAAAAATAAGGGCAGTAGAATATCTCAAAAGAAAATTGTAAATGGCATCTATTTTTTATTTTCTTGCAAGAAACAGCATAGTCTCTTTTTGTTGGTAAACAGGTCTTAATGACTGACATGAGTTTGGCAGAATGAGATTTTTACTGCATACTTTTTTTTTTCGAGTGGGGTTAGTTGGAACATGTCCTCCATTGGTTATCATTTCTATCAATTTTAACCCTATGTCACCGGGAAAATGCTGTGCTCATTTTAGATTTTTTTGTGAAATGTCTCTGCACATAGATGGATCTGTTACTGCTTAGCCACAAAGGAGTCAGTTTGTAGATCTTGTGACCTTACCTGATTTCAACTTTCCTTAAATTTACAGGAAAAACGTTTATTTTTACTAATGCTAATAATTATATATATGTATATGTGTATCTATATATATATACAGACATATATATTTTATTTATGCCAGCTCATAGCCTCTCCATCATTAAGACTTCTGCAGTACCTCCTCACGGACCCTCTCCTTTCACAAGGATGTCCAGTACCTGGTTGACCGAACCAAAACAAGACTGTCTGTCATGACAGCAATGACTGTGAGACAAAGACAAAGGCAAGCCTGAGACAAAAAAATACTCAGACACCTAGAAGAAGATCACAAGCTCTTTGAAAACAACTCCTGGCTATCTCAAACAGCCAGGGACTCTCTGAAGCAATCAATAGAGGTACCAAAGTCATTCTTCACAGAATCAGATTAGGTTACCATTGAGCATAGCAATCATAGAGACAATTAACCCATTGCAGCTGGAGAAAATTAATAAAAATTGGGAAATATGGTGTGCTCATTTTTTGTATTTTTTTGTGAAATGTCTCTACAAATAGATGGCTCTGCCTTACCTGATTTCACCTTTCCTTGAATTTACAGGTATATATATATATACAGACATATATATTTTATTTATGCCAGCTCATAGCCTCTCCATCATTAAGACTTCTGCAGTACCTCTTCACGGACCCTCTCCTTTCACAAGGATGTCCAGTACCTGGTTGACCGAACCAAAACAAGACTGTCTGTCATGACAGCAATGACTGTGAGACAAAGACAAAGGCAAGCCTGAGACAAAAAAATACTCAGACACCTAGAAGATCACAAGCTCTTTGAAAACAACTCCTGGCTATCTCAAACAGCCAGGGACTCTCTGAAGCAATCAATAGAGGTACCAAAGTCATTCTTCACAGAATCAGATTAGGTTACCATTGAGCATAGCAATCATAGAGACAATTAACCTATTGCAGCTGGAGAAAATTAATAAAAATTGGGAAATATGGTGTGCTCATTTTTTGTATTTTTTTGTGAAATGTCTCTACAAATAGATGGCTCTGCCTTACCTGATTTCACCTTTCCTTGAATTGGTGGGAAAATTTATTTTTTACTAGTGCTATGAATATTGGGATAGCCTGCTGGCTAACCCGCCACCATGGTAAGCACAAAGAACAAAATGAGACAGCCAGAAATAGCTGACACAGGCCGGGCCATATATATGGAAGGCCCGGGCAAAGCTAGATCTTTACCAATCTCAATTGTATTGTATCATTCCTTTGAAGCTGTTTTAAATTATACCTACAAATCACTGAACAAATGTCCACAGACATTCCCCAACCACATTATAATAAAATTCATATATACCTTCTAATGACAAATAACTGTGTTGGTGTAGTCTATGTGATATCTACATGTGTAAGGTACTCTCAACTTGTTTTTCTAAAAGATGAGCATTATGTTGTAGCAGTATGACCCTGTAACCTGAAGCTCCACATACTTCCCAGGTTGGGTCATATCAGGTCCACAGCCTCATCCTCCAGCTCTTGCCAGCAGGCACTTCTCTTGACTCACTGCAGAGACCTGACTGGCTGACATGGGCACCTCTTGGCTCTCTCATTGGACTGCTGGCTCCCTTCATTCCCTGTTCACTTACACAGCCTACATGTACTTAGCCACAGTATTGGAAATAGAGATTAGCAATCCCTGATCCTCCAGCAGAACACAACAAACAGCACTAACTCAGGACTGCCTATTGATCTCCACTTCATCTTCAACACCCAGCCATACTAGTGGGAAATCACACCCACTACAAACACTCCCTAAAGAGATCTAGACCAGTCTTAATAGTAAATGCCATCCATTTACTAAAATGTTATGAAGCTGTGAATTCAAGAAATATTGCCTTAACCCAATGCCGATGGGCATGACGTGTACGTACGTGCCATGCCCACTGTGAGTTACTTGTTTAATTGTTTTTACACAAAGATGGCTAGACTTCTACTAAGTCACCAATGAGCCAACTACAAGTGCTGCCTGTCTCACCCGTTCACCCTTTTCTTTGATTCACAAAAATATTTTACGTTATCTTATTTTCCTGTTAATAATGTTATATTATAGTAATTATGCTTATAATAAAAATAACACCATCAATATTCATATGTAAATATGATAGCAAAATATATGTTTTACCCGCCAATTCAAATTAGGAAAGATCTAAAAGACTAATTGACTCCTATGTGGCTAAGCACTAGCAGAGCCATCTATGTGCAGAGACTTATCACAAAAAATGTACAAAATGAGCACAGAATTTTTTCCATTTTTTATTCATTTTCCCCAGTGGCATTGTAGATAGATAAAGGTTGCTGAATATTAATTCTTTTTCTTAAAATACATAGATGGAAAAAATAAAGATGGAGCAGCCAATGACAAGGGGCTTCAGTTGTGTTGGAAGCATGAGAAAGGGGTCTGAGTATAAAAAAAAGTTGGTAACCATTGGACTAAATTGCACATAATAATGAAATGTATATAATAAAGAAACAAGCACTATCCAGATCATGCTGCCCATAATTATTGGTTTCATGCACTATAAGCAAATTTTCATATCGCATTAAATGTTAATACTTAGTAATTTGAAAATTTATAACTCAAAGCAGTTGCAATCGAGACACTGGTGATGTTAAGGTTTGGGTCTGCAGAGAGGACTATACAAAAATCTATAAAACCTTACCTAAGGATCCACAAAAAGGTCTATCATTTAGATCACTGTTGTCATGATAGCCTGGAGAAGAAAATAAAGACATAACTCATTAACAATACAGACAGATAAATAAAATAAAAAGCAGTAACATGTGTCAACTATGTGCTTCGAAAGTGCAAAAACACAGTGAAGGGCCTTATCATATGAAAGGCAGCCCATCTTGAAGTTAGGGAAAGGAGTTGTGGCAAGAGATCAATAAATTAGATATAAGTAATAACATCTGCATACATGGAACCACACACAAAGAAGCTTTCAAGATTTACTAACCTTTGCTCTCTGTAAACACAAATGAGCCCCTTTGAGTCAAGCTGTGTAGATCTCTATTTGAAGAACAAGTTGCAACTCTTTGAATATCATCAGTAACTGTGGGCCTATATTCTCCTGTTAAAATGAACAACAGCATAACCAATTAGCAATAGAAAGGTAATGCTTACAGTTTGCCACCAACATTCAAATGAAGTTATATATATATATATATATATATATATATATATATATATATATATATATATATATATATATATATATATATAAATCCTTTATTTGTATATATGACAAAAAACATACACACACACACATATATATAAATATACATATACATATATACAAATATATAAATTTATATATATACATATACAAAAATATTCCAATGGAGGAGAGCTATACTTTAGTTGATCTATGTGTAATAACAGTTACAGTGTATGATGGAGAATTAGAAGGGGAAGGAGCTAGGGGTGAGATAAGGAATGAGAGGTGGAAGGTGGTGTTGTATCAGGAGG